TGCTCGAGGTCGGCTCCGTCTCCAAGAAGAACACCAAGAACATCCTCGTCAAGAACATCTTCGACGCGTGCGCCCCGGGGCCTTTTTCAGCGCGCGGGGGAAACGGCCGTTGTACTGTTTCTTCCGCGCGCGCCGCGCTGCCCCGCCGTCCCCTCCCGCTGCCCCGCCCGCCCCAACCCGCGCCGCCCCAACCCCCGTCCCACGCCGCCGCGCTCCCGTAGGTGCATCGCCGCGATGATGTGGTGGTCCATCGGCTCGTCGCTCGCCGGCAGCACGGGCGACGACTTCACGTCCGATGGCAGCAACGGCATGGCGGGCAACGGCGCCCTCTTCCTCTCGACGTCGACCTCCAACAAGAGCGCCTACGCCAAGGCCTCCTGGTTCTTCGGCTGGACCTCGCGGGCGCGGGCTGCACGATCGTCTCCGGCGCGATCGCGGAGCGCGCGACGTTCACGGCCTACGCCATCTACTCCGTCGTCCTCACGGGCTTCGTCTACCCGCCCGTCGTCCACATGATGTGGGGCGCCGGCCGCTTCTCCGCCTGGCGCTCGCTCTCGAGCCGCCCCCACAACGACGACGCCGACGACGCGTCCGCGGGCCGCCTCATCGGCGGCTGCGGCGTCATCGACTTCGCGGGCTCGGGCACGGTCCACATGACCGGCGGCATCGCCGCCATCGTCGCCACCAAGTTCATGGGCGCCCGCAAGGGCTTCCCCGACAATCTCCCCGAGGGCCAGCCCGTCTACCAGGCGCTCGGCATCTTCATCCTCTGGATGGGCTGGTACGGCTTCAACTGCTGCTCGACGCTCTACATCGACGGCTACGCCCAGTCCGCCGCCCACGTCGCCGTCACGACGACGCTCGGCGCCGCGGCCGGCTGCCTCTCGACGTCCTTGATCGGCTACATCAGGTTCCACTACATCGACCCGGGCTACGTCTACAACGGCGTCCTCGCGGGCCTCGTCGGCATCACGTCGCCCTGCGCCGTCGTCTCGCCCGCGGGCGCCGTCATCGTCGGCGCGCTCGCGGGCCCGGTCTACGTCGCCGCGTCCACCGCGGTCAAGAAGGCGGGCATCGACGACGCGGTCGACGCCTTCGCCGTCCACGGCGCCTGCGGCATGTGGGGCGTCGTCGCCGCCGCCCTCTTCGCCACGCCCTACTACTACACGGTGTCGTACTACAGCGAGCGCAAGGACGACTGCGCGGGCGTCTTCTACGGCGGCAAGGCGTCGGGCTCCCTCGTGGCCGCCTTCGCCTGCATCGGCGTCATCGTGGCGTGGGTCGGCTCGACGATGACCCTCCTCTTCGGCACGCTCTCCGCCATGGGCCAGCTCCGCGTCACCGCGGAGGTCGAGGCCACGGGCCTCGACGACTCCAAGCACGGCGGAAACTGGGGCGCCTACAAGGTCGAGCAACTCGTCGCCGAGGGCAAGTACCAGGACGGCCCTGACAACAGCACCAAGGTCGTCAACGTCGCCGCCGCAGGCGAATCGCCGCCATGAATTGGATAATTTCTGTAACTTGAAGGTCAAATTGAAGCATATGCTGAAGTTTTGGGGCAAGACGATGACGAGCCGGGCGAGCACTCGTCTCGCGTGAGGGCATAACGCAGTCGACACGAACCGGAGCACAGCGAACAAGGCTGCAGACCACATGTACGCGCCCGTGCAAGCCGTGGACGAAGCTGCCGCTGGCGAGGAGCCGTGGCAGGCAGCGGACGAGGCTGCCGAGGAGCCCTGCGTCGACGCGCGCGCCCTCGAGGCCGCCAAGGCCGACGAGAGCCTCGCGGGCGCGCTCGACGGCGAAGCCGCGTTGCCATCGGTCGGCCGCCGCTGGCTCCGCTTCGCCGTCGTCGCGGCGTCGTCCTTCCTGCTGAACGCGACGAGCAGCGTCATCATCATCGTCATGCCGAAGATCGCCGAGGACCTCGACGCGTCGCTGTCGTCCGTGCTCTGGGTGAGCCTCGCGCACAGCCTCGTGACCTGCGCGCTCAACTCCGGCGCGGGCCTCCTCGGCGACGTCGTCGGCCACCGGCGGCTCTGGTACGCGGGCATGGCCGTGCGCGCGGCCGCGCAGCTCTGCAGCGGCCTCGCGCCGTCGCTGCCGGCGCTGGTCGCGTGCCGCGCGGCCGCGGGCGTCGGCGGCGCCATGGACGGGCCCTCGGGCATCGCGCTCGTGCTGCGCACGTTCCCGCCGGAGCGGAAGCCGTTCCTGGTCGCGCTGTGCACGGCCGTGGGCACGTCGGCGCAGTCCGCGGGCATGATCCTCGGGGCCGTCGTCGCCTGTGTGGAAATCAAATATTCAACCCGACTTCAATGTGCGCGTAATCGAACGGATTGGACCAGACTATTTCGCTGTGCTTCGAGAACTCGACGAGAGCAATCGATTCGTCCAAAAATCAGCCGAAT